GCCGACGTAGAAGCTTCAAGGTTTATGTTTGCCGTGTTACGTCCTTACCGCTCAAGCCCGACCAGGGCCTGGTCCAGACCGGGCCCCAGTGGGCCCGGTCAGACCCGGGGCCCGGTCAGACCGTACCGGGGCCCGGTACCCATACGTGAATGGTGACAAGTTTCCATTGGTCAGCATACGTTGAAGCAACGATGTTGAAAACCATGCCTGTTGAAAACATGTTGCAACATTGGTGGTTAACACCTTTGCCAAAGACTCTTTACACTACAGTATGTCAACACAATGGTGAAGAACAATGGATCAATGAGTCTTGAAACCATTGTGGTGCCAAAAGTTGTTCCACTAGATCAAGATTCATACCCATATCCACAAAAGCACAAAGGCCTATCAGCAAGAATTTAGCTGTCGCTTTCCGACCCCTATTTTTTTTAGAGCACGTCACGTTGTTGCCACAAGCAGCCCCACATGTTGTGTCCTGTTGGTTTTCCCATAGAAAGCAAGATTACTCAGACTCAGCTATTATGCTTGCATGGCTCCAGACATCGCTGGTGACACACGAGAGTTGGGGCAAACGAAAACCCTTAAGATTTTGACGGCCAACGTAGAAGCTTAAAGGTTTATGTTTGCCGTGCCGTGTTGCAGGCCTCGGGCAGTTTGCAGCAGGCTGCAGGTCTAGACCGGGCCCCGGTCGGGCCTGACTTGGCCCCGACCGGGGCCCAGTCCAGACCATACCGGAGCCCGGTACCCATACGTGAATGGTGACAAGTTTCAATGGGTCAGGATATGTTAGAAATGTTGCAACATTGGTGGTTAACACCTTCGCCAAAGATTCTTTATACTACAGCATGTCAACACAATGGTGAAGAACAATGGATCAATGAGTCTTGAAACCATTGTGGTGCCAACAGTTGCTCCACTAGAGTAAGATTCATACCCATATCCACACAAGCACAAAGGCCTTTGAGCAAGAATTTGGCTGTCGCCTTCCGACCCCAAGTTTTTTTCCGAGCGCGTCAGGTTGTCGCCACGAGCAGCCCCACATGTTGTGTGTCCTGTTGGTTTTCCCATAGAAAGCAAGATTACTCAGACTCAGCTATTATGCTTGCATGGCTCCAGACATCGCTGGTGAGCGTACGCACACGAGAGTTGGGGCAAACGAAAACCCTTAAGATTTTGACGGCCAACGTAGAAGCTTAAAGGTTTATGTTTGCTGTGCCGTGTTGCAGGCCTCGGGCAGTTTGCAGCAGGCTGCAGGTCTACACCGGCCCCGGTCGGGCCTGACTGGGCCCCGGCCCTGAACGGCGGAGAGTAGCAGCGATTACCAGAAGCGATTCACGAAACTGTCTCACCAGGTAGCGGTAGGGGCTGAACGGGGCCCAGTCCAGACCGGGCCCCGGTCAAGCCTGACCGGGGCCCGGTCAGGCCCGGTCAGACCATACCGGAGCCCGGTACCCATACGAAATGTTGCAAAATTGGTGAAACTACAGCATGTCAACACAATGGTGAAGAACAATGGATCCATGAGTCTTGAAACCATTGTGGACTTTTGGCCCACATATTGAACAACCACAGATTAAGATTCATGCCCATATGCACAAAAGCACAAAGGCCTATGAGCAAGATTTGGGCTGTCGCCTTCCGACCCTTAAAATTTTTCTGAGCATCTCAAATTGTCGACACAAGCAGCCCCACATGTTGTGTGTCCTGTTGGTTTACACATAGAAAGCAAGATTACTCAGACTCAGCTATTATGCTCGCAAGCAAAGCATTGGCTCCAGACATCGCTGGTGCGCGTACGCACACGAGAGTTGGGGCAAACGAAAACCTTAAGATTTTGACGGCCAACGTGCACGTAGAAGCTTAAAGCTTTATGTTTGCCGTGTTGCAGGCCTCGTGCAGTTTGCAGCAGGCTGCAGGTCTAGACCGGGCCTCGGTCGGGCCTGAAAGGGCCCCAGTTAGGTCCTTACCGGTCAAGCCCGGGCCCCGGTGAAGCCTGACCGGGGCCCGGTCAGACCCGGGGCCCGGTCAGACCGTACCGGGGCCCGGTACCCATACGTGAATGGTGACAAGCTTCCATTGGTTAGCATACGTTGAAGCAACGATGTTGAAAACCATGCCAGTTGAAAAAATGTTGCAACATTGGTGGTTAACACCTTTGCCAAAGATTCTTTATACTACAGCATGTCAACACAATGGTGAAGAACAATGGATCAATGAGTCTTGAAACCATTGTGGTGCCAAAAGTTGTTCCACTAGATTAAGATTCATACCCATATCACTCAGACTCAGCTATTATGCTTGCATGGCTCCAGACATTGCTGGTGACACACGAGAGTTGGGACAAACGAAAACCCTTCAGATTTGACGTCCAACGTAGAAGCTTAAAGGTTTATGTTTGCCGCGCCGTGTTGCAGGCCTCGTGCAGTTTGCAGCAGGCTGCAGGTCTAGGTCGGGCCTGACTGGGCCCCAGTCAGGTCCTGCCGGGCCCTAAACGGCGGAGAGTAGGAGCGATTAAACTGTCTCACCAGGTAGCGGTAGAGCCTGACCGGGGCCCAGTCCAGACCGGGCCCCGGTCAAGCCTGACCGGGGCCCGGTCAGGCCCGGTCAGGCCCGGTCAGACCATACCGGAGCCCGGTACCCATACGTGAATGGTGACAAGTTTCAATGGGTCAGGATATGTTAGAAATGTTGCAACATTGGTGGTTAACACCTTCGCCAAAGATTCTTGTAAACTACAGCATGTCAACACAATGGTGAAGAACAATGGATCAATGAGTCTTGAAACCATTGTGGTGCCAAAAGTTGCCCCACAAATTGAACAACCATAGATTGAGATTCCTACCCATATCCACAAGAGCACAAAGGCCTATGAGCAAGATTTGGGCTGTCGCCTTCCGACCCTTAAGATTTTTCTGAGCATCTCAAATTGTCGCCACAAGCAGCCCCACAAGTTGCGTGTCTTGTTGGTTTTTCATAGAAAGCAAGATTACTCAGACTCAGCTATTATGCTTGCAAGCAAAGCATTGGCTCCAGACATCGCTGGTGAGCGTACGCACACGAGAGTTGGGGCAAACCAAAACCCTTAAGATTTTGACGGCCAACGTAGAAGCTTCAAGGTTTATGTTTGCCGTGCCGTGTTGCAGGCCTCGTGCAGTTTGCAGAAGGCTGCAGGTCTAGACCGGGCCCCGGTCAGGCCTGACTGGGCCCGAGTCAGCTCCTGCCGGCCCTGAACGGCGGAGAGTAGCAGCGATTATCAGAAACGATTCACGAAATGTTAGCAACCGAGACAGCGTAATTTGGGGGCCTGGTCATGCTCTATGCCCGGTCCAGACGGGGCCCTAACCGGGGCCCGCTCAGACCATATACCCATACGTGAACGGTGACAAGTTTCCATGGGTCAGGATATGTTGAAGCAACGATTTGAAAAACCATGCCTGTTGAAGAAATGTTGCAAAATTGGTGGTTAACACCTTCGCCAAAGATTCTTTAAACTACAGCATGTCAACACAATGGTGAAGAACAATGCATCAATGAGTCTTGGAACCGTTGTGTTGCCAAAAGTTGCTCCACGAATTGAACAGCCATAGATTAAGATTCATACCCATATCCACAAAAGCACAAAGGCCTATGAGCAAGATCTAAATTTTTCAGGTTGTCGCCACAAGCAGCCACAAGTTGTGCGTCTTGTTGGTTTTCTCATAGAAGGCAAGACTACTCAGACTCAGCTATTCTGCTTGCAAGCGAAGCATTGGCTCCAGACATTGCTGGTAAGCGTACGCACGCGAGAGTTGGGGCAAACGAAAACCCTTAAGATTTTGACGGGTAACAGGTAGAAGCTTGAAGGTTTGTGTTTGCCTCCCCCCGTGCCGTGTTGCAGGCCTCGCACAGTTTGCAGCAGGCGGAGAGTAGCAGCGATTACCAGGAATGATTCACGAAATGTCAGCAACCGAGACAACGCAATTTGGGGGCCTGGCCACCTCAACCTGCTGTCCCGTGCGGTCCTGTTCCATCATCGCAGCGGGCCGCGCCCAGCCGCCGGCATCATGACGTGTTCATGTGTACCCCCGAATAGCACCCCAGAATTTGTAGAATATAGCCAGTATTTTCAGGAAGCCCCGTGCAGCCCTGTTCCGTGCTGCCCCCCCCCCCACCCGCACTTACATATTCCAACGCATCTCCATTTTCCAAAATTCTCAAAAACATCTTAAAACAGCAGCCCCACGCCCCTGCCTGAACCCACCTCTTCCAGAATGCGTACCCCGTTCCGGATGGCTAGTACCCCGTTCTGGATCGCGCCCCCCCCCCCCCCCCTACATTGTCAATTTTTGTTTCACAAAACGCACCGCCACTCCCATACCCCCTCCCCGTTCCGGATTGCGTACCCCGTTCCGGATCGCGCCCTCCCCCCCCACCCTTACATTTTCCAAAGTTCTCAGAAAAAGCACCGCCACCCCCCTACCCCCTCCCCCCGTTCCGGATTGCGTACCCCGTTCCGCACCCCCCCCCCCTTCCGCCCTTACATAATATAAAGCACCGCCACCTCCCTACCCCCTCCCCCCGTTCCGGATTGCATACCCCGTTCCGGATCGCGCCCCCCCCCCCCCACCCTTACATTTTCCAAACTTCTCACAACAAGCACCGCCACCTCTACCCCCTCCCCGCGTTCCGGATTGCGTACCCCGTTCCGGATCGCGCCCCCCCCCCCCTTGCATTTTGAACATTTCTCAAAAAAAGCACCGCCACTCGACCCTGCTAAGAGAGATTGTAACCCAACATCTGATCGCTGTTGGGAAAAATTGAATTTGAACCGGAAAAATGACCATTTTTTGTGCTCGTAGAGAAATGGCACGCACAGCGACGCCCAAGACGTGGAAAAAAAACCCTTTTTCAGGTGGTACGGATGGGAAAAAAAACAGCTGGGCCAGAAACAAAAACCATCTGCAAATCCTACCAAAGAGATCCCAGACAAACGACCTGCCTGAATCGTGTGGAATCCCCGCCTTCGAATCGCTGGCCATCCGCAGTGACCGCCACGCCTGCCCCCGAGTACTCAATGCCTGGCGCATGCGCCGCAAAACCGCGCCGCCCGTGGGTGGTGGTTTTCAGGTCATACTGTGGATGGTTGCGAAATCCATGCAACGCACCACCTACTCGCTGGCTGAGTGGATGCCCAAAACAAGTTCAAACTCTATATTTCCCACTAAAATGGTCCAAACCCAAAAAGTTTACAGTTCATGAACTCAGGAAGTGAGCCTAAGAACCCCCGGAATGATTCGATTCCCCAACGTAAATGCCAACAAACGCCAATGGTTTCAACCACTGGTTTCAAAGTGGTGCGAAATGGATGACTCGTCCATCAGTAGGTTAACTGGGAAGCCAAAGGCACCCCCCTTTTTCCTGCCATTGCAAAAGGGGTGCCCCGATTTCGACACATACACACATGTGTGAACATAGGGGAAGCCCAGAAAATAGGTGATTCCTTCTTGGTTTCCCCTGTGGTGAAAAAGGTAGCCTCCAAAGAACGCACGCAAACTACTTTGTACCATGGAGTGCCCAAATGATTCTTGGTTTCCAAATCCCAAAAGACCAATCCAAACCACCAATTGAGGGGTACCTGCATTGAAACCAACGTGGCACAAAGTCCCCACAAAATGAGCGCCCGAGCGGCGTGTGGCTGGGCTGGAGACTCGGATGTCCAAGTTCTCCGCGAGACGCGCAACTAGAGAGGAGTAGCCCCCTGCGGCGAACCGGTCCGGAGCAAACGAACCCTGCGAGCACCTCCCTGCTTCTTTTTCTTTGCTTCGGGGATCTTCTAGAACCCAAATGAATCCTTGGCATCCTGTCTGCAAACCTTTCTGATAGGACTTGGACCTCCGGAAAGCCAAGCTGTAAACAGGGGAGCTCAAAAGACCCAAGGGTGACAAACCGGATTGCTTCCTGTTCCACCCTTGTTGGGTCATGTTTGAGAGCATCGCCCCTAGGAACGCGCCACCCACTCTGCCGGACATCCAGAAAAACGGAATGCTGAGGCAACGGGCCTGCACGGTTAGTCTGTTCTGCCACCCCAGCTTGCCATGTTTCATGCAAGAGCCTGAGTCAGAGCGGGGCTGTGTGCGTCGTGCTCTAGAGACAAGTCAGTCTGACCATGTTATGAGAACTTCTGGTAGCTCCGAAGCTCCCGGCCAATTTGGATGCCCAGCTCCTTGGTTTTGCTGGTTCTCAGAAGACAAGGAAATGAGCCCTATAAAAACCCGGAAGGTCATTCCCAAAACCCGGAAGGTCATTCCCTAGGCACCAGCAAGAAAAAAATACACTTCCGCCTTTCACGTAGCCATCCCCGTGCTTCTCCCAGCCCTCCGACTTCTCAGGATAGAAGTCGGTGTAATCCTCCAAGTACTCATTCACAGCGCCTAAGAACTCCAGGTCAGAGAACAAATAGCCACACTGCTGAACATGTACAACCTACATACAAACACACACATATATATATATATTCATATATGTATACAACATATGCATGCGCGTATGCATGCATAGAATGGGTATCAAACTGGCATATATGTGCTTTACCCATTCCAGGTCAAAATGAGGCGCTCAATTTCTGCATCCTTCGCTGCGCGTTTCTGCGCACCGAAAGCCGCTGAATCTCGAGTGCCCATGGGACCAAGAGGGCAGACGGGTTTAACGGGAAACCCATGCCCATGCGGAAACACAGCGCAAAAAAGGGGCCCAACAGTGGAGAAGGACATGCGCTAAAGGCCAAAGGTAGTTCAATCAAAGCACGCCTAAAAAAACTCGCTAACGGCAGGCGAAGTGCATGCGAATGAACCCTTCCTTTTGCTAGCTGCCGCTGGTTGCATGAGCCGCTTGTTTCCGTTGAGAGGCATACAGGGCCCGTGCAACAAAAACTTGAGCAAAAGAGATCTTCTGTTCGATGTGCTGTTCACTTCACTTTCCGTACTCCCCTGTGCTGCGCCTGAGCGCACAGCTAGAATGAGACCCAAAAGGACTTGCAGCAGCCAAGGATGAAGGAAGGAGACCGGATCCGCATGAAATCGATGTGAATTCTACATTAGCATATATGTCCACCAGTTGCTTGATGCTTCCGCTGTTCAAGTCCATAGCCACATACGCAAAGGGGTTCCTGAAAGGATGCACCCCAAAGCCCAAAACAACCTGCTTTAGAAGCAGATTCTCTCAATCAATTAGTACTTTTTAGAATGGTTCACATGCATCCTCTAAGCTCTAAGCGGGCTTGATAAAACAGAAGCCTCTTGATTGTCAGCACAAACCACGCCAAAGCGGCTGAGTTTGTCCATGCTGGCGCCCTCGTCCTATGGCGTCCACCCCCGAACCAACCGCGGGGGAAGTGTGGGGCGGGGGTGGGGGGGTTAACATTTTTAGCCAACATACACACAAATACACACAAAGCTCACTTTGCTAGCGGTGAACAAGAGAACTCCAACGTTGTTGTTTGCCAGGATCTTGGTTGCTGTTGACCCCCTGCAAGAAGTTTAACTTTTTTGGGGTTTAGTGGAAAACACCTTTGTTTCCCAAAAAGTTGAAGTCTAAAGATCCAACCCAATAGCAGTCAAGCTATAATGGTTGTGCCAAAAAATAAGTCCAGGAACTCAGGGACTTCAAAACGGAGAACTGAGCGATTGCCATCAGCGACTGGGTCAACCGTTGGCCACTGCTCCTTTTCACCTGCAAAAAGGACGACAGTGGAAGTTTTAGCTAGAGACGACTCGTTTTGAGGGTTATCTCCATGTCTAAAAACAAAGGGCAACAAGTGGGTTTTTCAGCATCCAAACTTCCACGAGAGCCCAAGCGCTGAGCTTGCTGGCCAGGCTTCCCGCTTTGGCTCGGTTTGGAGGTTCAGGGGCGGTTTCGAATCTGCTTCCCACAAGAACTGCAGGGTTTAACCCCCAAGCCACCAATCCAAACCGCCTGAATCCAGGTGCTTGGGAAAAAAAGTGGTTGAACTCTTGGGCACAGGTATGTCAGCAAGAAGCTTTGCCGTAAGCCACTACAATTGAGCAGGACGCGAAGAGCAAAGCTAAAAGGCATAGCCTGCCACTGGACATGGAACTCCTGGGTGACAGGTTTGCTCTCAAAGTGACCTTACCCCTTGAAAAACAAACACACACACACATAGGCAAAATCAATTCCACATGGGCGTTTACGATTTCAGCGGAAACCATGATCATGGGGCCCGAGCTTGTGAACTTCTCGGCGACATGGAACCGGAGGGTTACCAAATAAGGAAAATTGTCTCCCCCGACCCAGGTGCAATGTTAACCAGGGTTACCAGATGAGGGTGCAATGTTGACCACCGGAGGGTTACCAGATGAGGCTGAAGGTAAGTTCAATGTTAGTTCAGCCTCCCTTCATTGGTTTGGATTGGTTGTTTGGAGGTGAAACGGGGGTGGTTTTCCAACTACCCGCAAGAACCAAGGGTTGAACTCCAAACCCAATCCAAACCACAACCAAGGGCCCGCGGATTTGGTGGGAGGAAAACATACTCCGCGGCTTTCACCACTTCAGGTCCTGCTGAAAGCTGACCTTCCGGTGCCAGGCCAAGAACAACCTCAGAGGAAACCATGCAACAAAAGGGCCTGGACATGTTCCAGGTTGCTCCTCAATCGAAACCCAAGAACCACCAAACTGTTTTCAATCGAATCTCCTCGAGCAAAGTAGCGAGCCTCGCATAGGGACCTGGAAACAAGACAAAGCACCTCCAAACAAGATTGTGAACTAACAGCGTTCTTCCCCGGATGTGTTCTGCTGCAGACCGAGACTCAACCGAATGTCCCTTCAGAGTCGGAGTCTGCGTCATTTTTGGTGAACCTTCAATACTGGAAAAAATAAGGCATAATTCCAGTAGTGATAGATCCCCTTTGAAACCAACAAGGGAAAACTCATATTCTTCCGTAAGCAAATGGGCGCTTTGTAGGTGATTGTCACTCGAGGCTTCGTTGTGCCAAAGAGCTGACTCTGCGCGGTGTAGTTCACCTTCACCGCCCGGCGCCAGATGTCGCCCACAGAGACGTTCACGTCTTTCTGGGACAGCTGGCCCTCTCGAAGTCGACAAACTCAGCCCGGCTTTTTTGGATGTGTGTGTGTGTGGGTGTGGGTGCTTTTTTGGCTCGGTACCCTGTTCAGGTTGGCTTGGCAAACCAAAAGGACAATGCATTTGCCCAAAATATTACAAAGGTCTGGTAGGAGAGAGGTGTTTGGATCCATGACGTTTTGCTCTTTGGAGCCCTCAGTAAAGAATCCACGGAACAACAAACCGTAACACCCGAAACAAAACAACAAACACTGAACACGTGCCAAGAACAGTGCGGAAACCCTTTCTGCCTGCGCGTGTCTTTTTGAAAATTGGTACTGTGCTCGTTTCCTGGGGGCACCCATGGGAAAACAGGCTGGTCTTCTTGGGGTCCGGTCCACGTTGCAGGTCCAGGGCCTCGCCTTACCCAACCCGATTCCCATTTCCGCGTGCAACGTCGCACCAAGCTAAAGCCAGGTGCTGCTCAAAATCACACGGGTAGACATGTTGGTATGTGTTGAGGGGGGGGGACATGTTGAGTTTCCGTTTGTTTGCTAAAACCAGGGTGCTTTTAATAATTATCACGCGGCTTGAAATATGGGTATGAGGCCAAAAAGGAACCCCCCCCCCCATGTTTGGGGCACCCTGAAAGGTGGCACACCTGGCACACCTGGCACGCCGGACGGGAGAGCTGGCCTCCGCGCAGGTCGACACAGCCGCAAGGGCGGTTTGGAAGAGGTCGAAGGACCCGTCCCTGCGAGCGATTCGGCTTGAGCGAATCGGCGGCTCGCCGGCCAGATTCGGTCGACCCTTCGCCCTTTTGAAGGCGAACTTCGAAGGGACGAAGTACAAATGTTATTGGTTTAAACACGCGCCTCTCAGCTTTGTTTCTTCCTGTCACAGGGCAGTGGTCAGGGCGTCCTTTGAGCACCACTTGCCATGCAAGTCCGCATTTGGTTGGAAGAAATACTGAATAAACAAACAACCCCGTTGATTCAGAAACGACCGATTGATTCATAGAGCCTGTTGTCCTTGTCAGTGGCTCCCGAACTCAATGAACCAAAAGGGAATTGAAGGGTGGAATCCACGAACAGTCTTCAAAGACATTTTTTACGTGAACGGGACCGGAAAAAATTGGGATGTCCATCCCTTTTTAGCTTGCTTTTGAAGGTAAGTTAGCGGCGTAACCACCCAATCAAGCAGCCCTGCAAGGGGTTCCAAACAGGACACTTCGGGACAGGGATTGGAACATATCCCCAATCCATGGTTTGACCGGGGACAAGAACCACCATTTTGCGGGTCCCTATTTTGACAACATAGGGCTGGACGGGGCTAAGCGCTCGCGCCAAGTGGGGATTTGGTTGGCCTCTGCTCAGCACTCAGCGCTTTGCCCTCCGAGAAGATCGTCAGGCGATCCCTGGAGCCCTCGTAGTCGTCGTCGCCCCCCACGCGCACCTTGGCGGCGTCAAGCGCCGAAGCGCCGAAGGGCACGGGGCACCAGGAAACAGGCGCCTTTGGAGACGGATTCAAAGAACCCATACACAGGGCTAGAACACTGATGCCTTCCGAGAATGAGGGTCTTTTGAGGATTGGTCGAGGGGCTAAGGCGGCATCGGGAAATGAAGGAGTTGCCGGGTCAAACGTTGTTGGGTTTACATGCAAGCGGAACGTGTGCCTCTTTTTTGGTGCTATCCTGACAAATCTGGTAGGTTGGTCGGTTGGCTGTTACGGTTGGTTGGGTGGGATTTGATTGAGTTGTGTGGAGTTGATGCATTGGTGGGTTAATTGGTGGACATATGCTTGGCACTGTAGGGGTTCAGTCTAGCAGGGGCTTGGATTGGTGTTGTGCTGGCTTGGTGTGGTTTAAGAAGGGTAGGAGTGTTGGACTGCCCACGAACCTTTGCTGAAAAGGGAGAGGCGAGGGTTCTTGGGGCAATCCAGGGTGACCCTGTATACCTGCCAAAAGTGGAGTCCCAAAACAGACACACAACAAAGGGGTCTGTAGATAGGTGGCCTTCCGGAAAAATAGAGGAACAAAACCTATCTAAACCAGCAAAACCCATCTATTTCTTTGCAAACTAACCGATCAAACGGACACACCTAGGGTTTGTAGGTGTCAGGTGCCGAAGCGCCTGTGAGAGGTTGTGCATGCGGAGCAGCAGCGACACCGGGGTGTTGTCCACGCCCCCATGCACCCAGTGGGCGCCCTCCTGCGCGCCCAACTTCTTTGGTTTAGACGGGTGAAAGGTTTGGGGGCTGGCTTCCCATTTGGCCATGGGTCAAAATCCAAATCGGTTAGCCCCCAGTGAACATCCGATTCACTCCAACCACTAAAATAGACTAAGATGGGTGGTGAATTCACCTACCCCAAAATGGTACCATTGGTTTTGACCCACAGCCATTCACATTCTATAAGAACCAGGGGCTGGAATGGGTTTGAACCCCCCACCAACCCCAACTGCCTCCCCAAACACCTATGTTCAACCCAACCCGTTTAGCGAACTCTGAGACACCCTCAAGAAGAGACACCCTTGCCTTGTCACCAACAAAACAACAGTAAAAAATCCGCGTGATGTTTAGTCTGCCCCAGCATATGTACAGTAGTTTTGGAGGAGACCCAAATCAGCGGGGTTCATGTTTGGCCGACATGTTCACTTCACATGACTCCAGGTTCTGCCTTGCACTACTCACTTCCTGAATCCCAAACTGCTTGTTTACCACTACAATGGCTTCAATGGTCCAAACCCAAACAGCTTAAAATTCTGAACTCAAGGAGTGAGACCGTGAGACTATGTTGCAATTTCCATCGCTTCTGTTCTATTTTTGGTGCCGGGCCTGCGCGGTGCCTGACTTAGCCTCACCTTGGGAGCCGCCGAAGCTGTTTGAGCAAATCCCGCAGGCTGAAGCCCGCGCAACTCTGGGACATGTGTGTTTGTCTTTTTTTGAGAAAAAAACAAAAACAAAAAACACATGTCTGCGCCTTGAGCCGACACAAGCGAAACACACATTCATCGAACCGCGCACAATTCCTCGCCCCCGCACCCCCGGTTTGGTCGCTCGCGGCGTTTCTCGCCGCGACCCCCGCGTCCTTTGGCCCGTTTCGGCCGGGCCTCGGTGCCCGCGAAGGGCCCCGCGGCGAAGGTGTGGGTGCGCCCGCCGGGGCGGTCCAGGGCTTCCAGCACCGTCACCTGGCAGCCTCGATCGAAGGCCATTCCGCGCGCAAACCATCCAAAGACCCGGTGAAACTGGCCGTTGCCAGGAGAAAAACCCGGTGCTTTACCCGAATAATCCTTTTTAGTAGATAAAACGGGGTGAAACATGCACTTGTTGGGAGCTAGTTGCATGTACAAACGGAGTCTGCCTTGGAATTGGACAATGGGTGGACCCGGACCCTATGCATTGTATAATGCGGGCTGGGAGGGGGACCCATCTTGGTGCTGCTAACGGGGCTTTCAACTGGGCGTGGCAAACAAAAATAGGGATCCTTTCACAAAAGGGCTTGCCCTAAACGCGAAAGACGAACACCTGCGTATTCCCATTTTTTCATTTTGCGCCGCAGCCAAGTGCACCAGCTCGAGGGGCCGAAGTGGCGCAAGGACTCAGCTGCGACCAGGCCGGAGATTCCGGAGCCCACCACCAAAACCCGCTCCTCGGGGGGTGTGAGTTGGGGAGGGGGGAGTTGGGGGAGGGGGGCAGCGGGGGTTGGGGCTGACACTGGGGGCTTCAGACTGGTTGGCAAAAGGCACAAGAAAAAGGTGGTTAAGCCTGGGTTCTCAAGTGATGGAAAGCAGGCTCTAAAACCAAAGTGGCTAACTCCCACCCTTTAGTCAGGTCCCACGGCAAACTGGAAGGGTAAGAACCCTCGGATTCCTGTGCAAGATCGGGTGTTCCCCTTTCACTCTTAGGGAGCAGCCCAAAGCAAATCTGATCACCGGTGGTTCTGCTTTAAGTTCGGGGTCCACCTTACCTCGGGGGTGCCAGGGAGTGAGGAGCCCCCCCCCCCACACCCCCCACAGCCCCCGCTCCTTGCAGCCCGTCGCGCGCGGGGTCCCCAGCGCCGCGGCCACAAGGACGAGCGCCGTCCGCATGGCAAAGCTCAGCCGGATGAATGCCGCTTTTTGATGCTGGACATATTTGAGTGTATAGGTACATCTGAGCACTGGAGGTATATTTCAGGATTTCAGAGCAAACAGCCCACGTGCGCCCACGTGCTTGTCCTCAAGTGTGGCTGATAGATGTAAGTATCATACGCAGAAGGGTGACTGTTCACTAGGCTATCCAGTGAAGTGTTCTGGTTATATAAAAAAAGGCAACACGTGTTACGTGATATCTTGTTTGCACCTCGGTTCAGTCGCCTTGATGCAGAGCAAGGGACTGCATCGATCATTCTCCTGAAGCGCCTTGAGGGCTGCGCCGATGCCAAAGGCCAAGATCAATCATCCAGCAAAGCGGAAACATGGCCCCAAACCCCAAAAAAAGTCCAGTGTCGAAGGTTGACCTCCGTGGTTGCTTGCTGCTTGTACTATGTCTTTTCGAATTAGCTCCATACTTGTGGGAACCCCAAACCCAAATGAGTCCAGTGTCGAAGGATGACTTACGTGGTTGCTTGTTTGCGCCTGCACGGCGGAGCAGTGCAGCCACGCAAGAAGGGGTCGTCCCCCTCTTCTTTCCCAGACGTGAGAATGCATCGTGCACTCCTGGCATCTTGCCTTCCAGAGTGGGGTGATGGGGTGACAGTTGCAGATTTGCACTTGGAAGGGCATCCTGGAAGGGAAATGATGTAAGGCATTCCTTCTGTAACTCTGTGTGCGGCGTGGTTTGACATACACCCTCACTTCCTGAGTGAAATGTCAGCTGGTCTTCCCGCAAAGTATGAAGTCCAGAGACTCACGGGCCATAAATCATCAAATCTCACCTCCGGACCTCAAGCGAGGCCTTGCGGCCCCCGGAAAATGGACTTGCTGGTGCGATAGGCGGGGAACGGAATGACCCCTTTGAATTCATTCAAGCACCCCGGACGAGGTGTCCTTTCTTCGGGAAGTCACATTCTGGTTCATTCCACCAATCTCATTCCCTACCGATTTCGCCCCATCCTCCCATATGGTTTCATTTGTTTCGGAATCGCCTTCCGGTTCATTCCATGTCTCATTCCCTGCTAGGGATTCCCCTAAAGGAAACCACAAGGGATGTTTTATAATTCCAACTCATTCCTTCCCGATGTCGCACCGATCGCAAGTCGAACCCAATGAATCCGAGGCTCGCAAACCAGGCCCCCCCAGCACCAGCAGCGGCGCGCACATCTCCTCGCCCCAGTCCAGGCCGTACCTCACCGGGGCCTCCAGTCGCGTTGCCTCGAACCTTGGGCATCGAGAGAATGCGTGGCTTTTCGGGGAGGTTGTCCTTTTGGGTTGCCTTTAAAACAGCACCAAAACGGGGAGCCCTCAAAAAACAAACATACAAAGGTGATCACTGATCACGATTTTGGTTGGCAAATGTCAAGCTCACCGATGGGTACGAGCTATGGGGGGTCTTCACTTCCAGCATGCACTTGCCGAATCGAGCGGATCTGACCAATCCGCGGAATTGATCTCGTTCCCTTTAGTCACCCCCAGCAGCCAGCAGCCTACTGATTGGTAGGACCAGAAATTGAGGGACTGCCGTGCTCCATTCATCTGCAGGGGGGTCAACGTGGTTGTAGTTGTCTAGGCTTAATATATGCTCGAGGGGTGTAAGGTGAACCTCAATACCCGTCATGGAAACACCCACCGCATGTTTGTTCCCAAGGTGCTTACATCCACCAAGTGAGATACAGGCCTATTCTGGTGGAGATTTCGGCTCCACTGATTTTTTGTCGGGTTTGGGGTGGGGGTGAACTGGTTCCACCGGTTTTCCGTTTTTCCACCGGTTCCGTAAACATACCGTGGATGCACGAAATCCTTGCAACGCACCCTAGAATGATTCGATTCCCCTGTTATGCCAACCAATGGTTTCAACCATGGTTTCTCAGTGGTTCGAAATGGCCGTGGGTCAAAAATAGGTACCCACAATGGAACCCTTGAAAGAGGAAACATGGACTAAAAGCTGCGGTCCCCTGCTGGTTTCATTTTGACCCACAGCCAAATGGATTTCGTCCACCCACAGTGGGCCCCCCCTCCCAAAGCGCGCGCCCCGCGCATCTGCCGCCACGCAGCACGCAGTGCTGCGCAAGCTCCTGGCCCGCCTTCAGCTTCAGCCGGGGCCAGGCCTGCGCTTGCAGTCGCCACATCTGGTCGCGGCCCAACAAAAAATCCAAGCGCACTTCTCGGTTGCTTTCCGCCAAGCCCTGCTAAAAGTGAATAACTTTTAGTTGTTTAATGCGGAAAACCCAATAGTTGGCAAAGTCCTAACATCCAAGCAAAATGCACCAAAGACTTGTTATACTTCCTAAGTGGCCAAAAAAACAGGAACAAACTGGTTACTTGCCACTAAAATTGTCTTTCCAAAAAGTGACTTGTTACCTGGAGTCTCCCTTCTGACCCTTAAAAAATGATTGGTCATTCCCCCAAAAAATGGGGTCATTGACCCATTTACTCACTTCCTGAGTTGATGGGCCAAAAAAAGTTCAAACTTTCTGTTTACCACTAAAATGGTCTTCCCAAAAAGTTTAAAGTCCAGGAACTCAGGGAGTGAGTTTGAGGGTCAACGCAGACTCCAGGTATATATACTTCCCAAGTGGCAAAAAAACAGTAACGCGACTTGGAATATTTGCCACTAACACTGTCGTTCCAAAAAGCGTCAGGTCCATGAACTCAGGGAGTGAGACATTGGACAAACCTTTGGGTACAGTGTACGGGATACTGCAACCCTGGGTGCCCAGGGTTTCGACTTTGGTTTCAAATCCGCAGGAGCCACTTGCATCTCAACTGTGCAAATTGGGAAGCTTAGGGGCTCCTGCACTAACAAATGGCTGGGGGTCACGAATCAAGGAGGCCAGTAAACCTGTTCTTGAAATGCGGCCAATCCGCGCCATCCGCCAACAGCAACGGTCTGCCGGTTTGAAACAAAGCGCCAACAAGCTTTCTAAACATTCCAGGGCTTCCTCCCATCCTTATCATAAACACTGCCTACACATGTTCGCGCGGTCCAAAATGGGCCGCCCTTGCCGGAACCTCAAGAAATCAGCCTCGTGCTTCGGACTTGTGGTTTCGAATCGACTTATATAACTTATTATACACTTACCCCTTAAAACTCCAAGCCCTGAAAAAGTGAATCTTTTACAGACATATAGCCCATGTTACCCCCAAAAAGTTACGAACAGTTGTGTTGTTAAACAGGTAAGTACAACACCTCTGCCTTCCCTAGCCTTACCTCTGCCTTCCCTAGCCTTCAGGGTGCAAACCATGCTAGACCAGTATACTGAGAGACGTCTTGAGGCCCAACTTTGACCTTTACTCTGTTTGTAGTTCGTAGGCTTTTTCCCTTGAACCCGCGCTCATTTTGTTTGGGGGGCTGCCTTTACGAATCACCACCCCACATTGCAAAGCTCACAGCTGTTGGTGTCAGAGCGTTTAATGGAATGGCAAGACCAAAACAAGGTCGATTTGCTTTTGGAAAAATGACACCAAACTCTCTCTCTCCGAAAGCCAAAACACCAACCAAACAAACAACTTTGATTGGTCTACCGCGAAGTTAACCTATGTGAACATCCGGCAGCTGGGAAACTGCACAAATGGCCCACGACCATCGCTCCCAAAGCGGGCCCTGAACGCGCCAACTGTTTGCCCAGTGGCCTTGTCGGCGAGGTTTGCAAATGACTGCTCCTCCGAGAAAGCATGAGATCAAAGCGCGGCGACGCACTCATCATGGTGCAGGGTTGTGGACAAATAACCCATTGTGTGATACCAAAATGGATTCCCATGACTCTTTATCACTTTGAAGTGGGTTCCCTTGGCATCACAAAGACTGATCCCCCCAAAACAATTTCGCACAATCGGTCGGGAGTTCAGGGTTCGGGAATCGGATTTCGCCACCAAGAAACAATGCTGCGAAAGCCATGCGGGCCGAGAAAGAACAACTCAAACAGCGGCTTGCAGCCGCGATCCCGGCCAAGGAAACCACCCCAGAAAAAAGGCACTCAACACCACAAAAACACACGCTTGGAAGGGCAATCTACTCGCTGGCAAACAGCATCAACCAGTTTTCTTGTGGCTTCCTTGAGAAGACTGCTGACCTCACCCCCCAAAAAAAACTGCATCTGGCTTCCCCTTCTGTAAAATATGCAGTGAGCTCTAACACCATGTGGTTTTGCCGAGTCGAGCAGAGGTCAAGCCCATCTTGTCTGAATCTAGTTGGGCATATCTTTCAGTGCCAAAGATTTCCAAATGGTCTTTCCCTTGCTCGGTTGCTGTTGACAGCTTTGCAGAAGCTTAACTTTTGTGAGTTTAATGGAAAACCCTTAATTTCCAAACAGTTGAAGTCTAAAGATCCAACCCAATAGCAATCAAGCTTGTTGCGAATGGAAGAGGGGGGCGAGCGATGGCCGCCGTTTTCGACGATGGTGCCACGAAAACCTCCGGAGAAGTGCGCAACCGATTGGGCCCCCCAAAACTTCCAGGAAACAGCCTGCCCAGTGGATTTCCATAATAAAAAAAGGCATCCTGTTTCGGTTGGTTGAGTTCAAATGGAACCCTTCCCAAAAAAAAAAAGGGAAAAGGGGCACTGGGCAGCTGGGTGTTGGAAAAGGCAGCAAGTCCGCCAGCGCTTCCGCTTCCGTTCGCCATATTCGTGAGCAATTTTCAGTTGCCGGCTTCAACGGTCAAACAGGGCATCGCCGGTGCCGGAGTCAACCCTAAAAAAGGCCAGGGCAAAACCGGGCTGCCCATTGCACCTTTGGAATTTCCCGAAGGAACTCGCGCCTTTGGATAGCTTGGGAAGACTACCTTCATGTGTTTTCCTTTTGGAAAAGGCTCCTGTGACCTTCAGTGCTACGTGGCGCGGGGAGGGCACCTTAAACATCATTCACAAATGGTCCGTCAATACTTACCCTTGCTACCACTATAGCAAGTGGAAGGGCACTAGCACCTGGAAGTTCAATTTCCTCGAAGGGACC